GTAATGTCCTGAAAAGTCACCTTCTTCTTGTAATACCCATGTCATACCTTTGTCATTATACAAATTCATGTCCTCATTTGTCACAAAAACGCACGCACACACACACACCCACACACACACGTATAATACATCCTTTCCAAATGCTATCTAAATGCTATCTATTTGCATTTAATTCCATGTACAATATCAAGCAATAGTCTCATTATGATTCAGGTCTATTAAGACTAAAAGCTTTTGGGGCTATATAAGCCTATTGAAAATAGATGCTATTTGCACCCAGCTGAAAACAGCAGCATGCACTCTTTGCATGGCCATTCAGTATTCTGTTCTGTTCGGACACAATATCTGTGCATTCCTCTGTTTATAGCCTATACAATTATATATAACAGCCTTCTCCAGACTAATGGGAAGCACCAGGAGATTGTAAAGGAACGTCGAAGGAAGTTCAATCAAATGACAGATAACAAAACTGAGATCATTTGAGTATTTGGAAATGTTCTTCAAACGTGCGCGCTAATAAAGCACTGTCTAATAAATACCACTGGATGGAGTCATTCGCTTAGAAATACTCACTTGGTCTCCTGACTATGTGAACACAGATTTAATGTTAAACTGTAGGTAGTATGATGGATAGTAATCGATACTTTATATTTTACATTATACTCTTATATTAATATGGAACAATATATAGCCTAGTCAAAATGCATAAAGCAAATGAGTAACATTCTTAAAAGCATATCAATACGTGCATACCTAGCGCTCATTCCTGTTATGTTGTGTATTTTCAGATGTACACACATACATAGGCTATAGACTGCATAATACTAATAATCGTAATATATGATGACATTGGTGACATTTTATATTTTGTATTGAAGTATTAGTTGCTTTGTCTCACTTGAAACCATTCCATTCTGTTTGATAAAACTACAGAAAACCAGTAGGCCTATATATTATCAAAGTTTCAAATTATATTTAAAAATTCTGAAAAATGAACTTGACATTTTTCTGTGAGCTTAGCAAAAAGCAAACCTGTAGCTCTTTATTCCCATCCTGTCATGAATTCTGATTTATTTCCATCTGGTTTCATGTTAAGTTCCTTGCAGGCATCATTATAGTTTTCTTATTATTGTGTAAATAATCAGGTATTAATAAAGTTTAAGTGCCTGAGAATATTTCTAAATATCTGTATTAGCTATATCGCACAAAAGAAAAGCCCAGTTGTCAATAAAAGTTATGATCTGTGTTGGGGAGTAACTTGTTACATGTGATGGAATTACATAATTGAATTACTATATATATATATATACATGTAATTGTGATCAGTTATAGTTACTGAGAAAAAAAATTATAATTAAAATATAGTTACTTATGAAAATGTTAACGATTACAGGGGTAACATCTGATTTTTTTATTTTTTTTTTTACACACCCACATACAGATTTAATTGACTTCTTACATAAATTGCATAACTGCTCTAAAATATGAGACACCATTGTTTCAGGAGTTTAGGACACAGAGTAGAACACATGCTTATTCGATAACTGTTTTATTTCCACCTCGGGTTTATGTATATGCTTTTTTTTTTTTTTTGAATATGAATTTTTGTTCTTTCAGGCATTGTTAGATGCAAGTGTTTCCTGTCTATGAACAGATTTGATTTCAAAAACAGTATCATAGCTGTTAAACTATTCTTTGTTATGATTTTAAATCTGTATTTAAATTTAGAATGATCTCAAAAGGGATGTTAACGTCTGGTTTTGTGTGCTTTAAATTCAATTATTATAATCTTAATTCAAGAGATGAAGGGTTCTGAAAGTCTCACAGTAATCAGTGTTGAGTAGGCTACTACTGTAAGGTTAACCCTGCCTGGTTTACATTAACATTTAGTCATTTATCAGATGCTTTTATCCAAAGCGACTTACAAATGAGGACAATAGAAGCAACCAAAACCAAAAATGTGAAATGTTTGAAAATGACTAACAGTTGAAAACATTAGAAATGTTTCTAACGTTTGGTTCAGCTGTCTGGTTAATAACTGTCTGGTTCAGCTCAGCTACCAAATCTGACCTCAGAAGACTTCAGAGGGTAGTCCGGACCGCTGAGTGAATCATTGGTACAACCCTCCCTTCTCTCCAAGAACTGTACTCATCCAGAGTGAGCAAAAGGGCTGGCAAAATCACTCTGGACCCCTCACATCCAGCACACTCCCTCTTTGAACTGTTGCCATCTGGTCGACGCTACAGAGCACTGAGCACCAGAACGACCAGACACAGGAACAGTTTCTTCCCTCAGGCAATCCATCTCATGAACACTTAACAATAACTGTGGAACACACACTATTTATTCACTCATACACTTATTTATCTAACACACACACTCAGTCTACATTTCAATTACACCTTGTTAGTAGCTTGTACTTGAGTTTGTTGATCAGTTATTGCACAGTAAGAAAAATATCTAGAAAAATGAAAAAGGTAGTAATTTTCCAGGACATTATCCGTTATCCATTGTAACCCGAAAACACAAAATACAATGCGTAATTTAAAATGTAGGTAAAAAAGCGTGTGAATAATAATTACGGAAAATTCCTTCATTTTAATAGATTTTGCCCTATTTTTACAGACTTTACTTAGAGTGTAGCATACGAACTACTAATACACTGCTTAAAACTATAATTGTTCAGAATGAGTAGTTTTATTAGTTTACTAGCTAATAAAAATAAAGTTAAATTGTAATTGTTAAAAAATGTGAAAGTGTTTAATAATTCAATGTTGTATTTAAAATTTGTTATTTATATTTTAATATTATATTATGCATTTATGTTATTTTATAAACACATCTAAATGAACACATATAAATTTGTTTATATTTTTTGCTGAGATTTGATGCAGTGACACAATTTTGCATCGTGATTACGCCATGACGTCACCGCGCAATGACATCGCGTCATTTAGCAACTTTTAGCAACAAATCAATCTTCCTTTAGCAACTTCCCCTGAAAATTAGTTGTCAACACTGGCTCTGAGCACCAGAACGACCAGACACAGGAACAGTTTCTTCCCTCAGGCCATCCATCTCATGAACACTTGACAATAACTGTGGAACACACACTATTTATTCACTCATACACTTATTTATCTAACACACACACTCAGTCTACATTTCAATTTGCACATAATATACCTGTACATACAACTGTCTACTGTTATATACCTGTACATACAATTGTCCATTTGTATATTTTTATTCCTTATTTACTTGTTCTATTTTTTTTTATTTATTATTATCTGTGTTTTGTGTTCTGTCACTGTCATTCTGAAACACTGTGGAGCTTCTGTCACGAAAACAAATTCCTCGTATGTGTAAACATACCTGGCAATAAAGCTCATAAAGCTCATTCTGATTTAGAAAAGTAATCAAATGTAATCAGTGAGGCCTGCACTATTTTAATAAAGTAATTGAAATAGTTGCACTACTTACATTTCAAATAGGGTAACTTGTAATCTGTAACCTTTTACATTTGCATAGTAACCTTAACAGTGTTGGGGAAAGTTACTTTTAAAAGTAATGCATTACAATATTGCGTTACTCCATAAAAAGTAACTAATTACGTTACTTAGTTACATTTTATGGAAAGTAATGCGTTACGTTACTTTCGCGTTACTTTCGCGTTACTTTTTAAATATAAGCAGGACTTGATTGTTTTTAATATAAGAAGTTCTGTTTATAGCAAATATTAAAGCTCTTTCACACCAAAAAAGTGTAATGAATAAACCTCAGGCTTTCACGTCTGTACAGTAGAACGCAGGAGAAGAAACACTCTTCAGCAATAAAAAAAACAAAGCACAATTGTTAGTTTAGCTAAAGTCATTTGTGCTTATTAGTATGGTTGAACTGGATCATCAAAGCTCAGCAGCCAAAGATATTGGTTAATAAAATGGGATTAGATACATTTGTGTTATTTAACATATTTAATTATTGCAGGTTTGAGTCATATTCAGTAAGTAACTCAGATATTTTCTTGTAAATTAAAAAGTAATGCGTTACTTTACTAGTTACTTGAAAAAAAGTAATCTGATTACGTAACTCACGTTACTTGTAATGCGTTACCCCCAACACTGGCAGTAGGTTTGTTTGTTTGTTGTGGGGCCTGTGTGGATGCTCCGCGCGCCCTTCCCCCTCCTCGAGCCCCGGAGATGAGACGAGGCTCGCGCCAGGAATGCGCTGTGACGTCACGGCGCTCTGGAGCTCACACTTTTGGGGGAATCATTTTGTTTCTGGCTGTGTTGAAGTTCACCAAAACCGTGTATCGCGGCGCAGGGCTGAGGCGGATTTTCGGATGGCCAGGTTTTGGATTTGCATGGATTGTTTGCGAAAACTTCTCCGCCGTGAGGTAACGTTAAGAGCCACTGCATCTGTCCTTCGCGTTACTCAGCGGCCGGTGGGGTGGGTAAGTGGCCAAAACTCTTTGGTTTGCCGTGAAAATGGCCGAAAACGACCTTTATGTTATGTTTATCCCTCACTTCGTTGGACTGAATTGAAATGGAGACTTTTTCTTCTGGTTTAAGCAATCCTTCTGTACCGTTCTCATGCACTAGTCCCCCTTTTGTTCGTAACTGAGCTTGTCCCAGCTTGAGATGTTTTTAAGCAGTCAGTAATCTGAGAAGAAACCTGTTGAAATGCTCCAGACTGGACAGAGAGACGTTCAGAGGTCAGTCTGTGCAAAGGAAAAAGGTCAAATCTCATGAAAGTGAATCTGTAAAGAACATCCAGGCCACATTTCACTCTAGGATCAAACTAAAAAAGTAAAATAAATACATACTTAACTGACGAATACTTTATATTTTCCATGAAGCCAATTTAAAATCATTAAGATATTAATATTTACCTACAATTTGTTAAGATTTTTTTGTTGCATTGTGACATTAAACCTACCAAATTATCCATTTTAATCTATCAATTCTGTTGTGAAGTGAAAAAAAATAAATAGTGATATATTATTTAATACTTAAAGATGCAGTATCTGGCGCATGGTTTTTGTTTCACTGCTTTTTATTCTATGCCGATGTACATTAAAACATGGCATGAAAGTAATAATAGCTCACAATGCAGAAATACGTTTCGTTTTCTTTGAAGTATTTATGTATCTGAATAAAACAGATGAATTTAAGCAAACATTAAACTGTATTAAGGCGAACATACACATTTAGCTCGTATATTCGCGTTCCCGTCCCTTTAAATAGTCTTGATGAACATGAAACATGTACCTTATATGTCATTATTGTGTGATAATACAATATTCATTTTAAATAAACTGCGATCTGATGATTAGTAATATATCCTTTAGAAGAAGAAAACCGTTTAAGATCAAATAAAAAAAAAACTGTCAATTTTATGAAATAATACGTGATAAAAACGATCTGTCTTGAGTGACAAATAACAGGTACAATGTAAAAGACCACGTGCTTTTGCTCCTCTCTGTTCTCGTGCAGGGTGTGCTGTGCAAACTGGGACACGCGCTCTTGTTTCCATAGAAACGCACAAGACGCCTTGATACTGCTGTGCCGCTCGCCGCTCCGATCGTTCATCAAGACTTCACAAAAACAGCAAGATGGTAAGGAGGCAAGCGACAGCACGAATCAGCGAAATAAGGTGGAATTGATCATATATCGATGATTTAACCGTGTTATTCCCGCATTTAACCTGTTTAATGAACGCTCGTAGTCATGTGGACCTGCTTGTGTTGTTGCTGTTAGCTGGTAACGATTAGCTTGCAGTGGTGGAATTAATCAGGAATGTATTTACGTGTGACCTTGAAAAATGGGCTGGTTTATTAATCAAAAATGCCTCTTTTTTTCTTTAAGAATTCACCTGGCTCTTTGTTTCCCCCTGCAGCCATTTTATGACAACGTTTACTACCCATACCCGTCAGATCCCCCGGGAACCCATTCTTCAGCAGGGACCCCATCTCTGTTGAGCTCTCCTCAGAGTCAGCCCTCATCCGGCAGCCTGAGCCGACCAGCCGCATCCACCATGTCCGGACCGCTTACGTCCTCCAGAGCCGCCGGCATCCCCCCGACCATCAAGTTCAGAGCCCGGCGTGAGAATGTAGACTGGCGTCGGATCAACGCCGTGGATGTGGACCGGGTGGCTTCTGAATTGGACTTCCACGCTCTACAGGAGCACATCACAGAGGTGACGTTCTGCAGCGTGGAGGGCGAGCACTGCCAGCGCTGTCAGAGCCCCGTGGACCCGGCTCTGATTAAGCTCTTCCGGCTGGCCCAGCTAACCGTGGAGTACCTGCTGCACTCCCAGGACTGCCTTAGCATCAGCCTGCAGGCGGCCGAGGAGAGGCTTCAGGTGGAGGCAGGCGAGAGGGAGCAGCTCTGCGTCCAGCTGCAGAAAAAAACCCAGGAGGCCAAAATGCTAAAGGAGGAACTGAAGCAGAGGAAGAAGATCATAGCCTCTCAGCAAGCCATGTTTAGCACGGGGATCGGTGCCAATTACCACAAGGTCTGTACAGCCCCGTGGTGGAGTGTGAATGTCTGTATTAGCATTTTCATTGTCGCTGTCACCTCCCCCTCAAGGCCAGACTCGATTCCACCCCTGTTTCACAGTTCATTGACCCCGGGGAATGTAACGTGTGCTTTTCTCACATTTGACGGTGTGAAGGAGCCACATTAAGGCTGAATCCCAATTCGCATACTATGCTCTGATCAGTGTTAGTTATTGTTAAAATCATTATTTATTGAAAATAATTTTCGTTAAGTGAGATAAAGCTGAAATAAAATAATAAGATTAGATGAGAAACATAAACTTAAAAAACTGTAACGGAAATTAGGAATGCCCTTGCAACTGACAGAAATAAAATCCTTAAAATGATTTTATTTCTGTTAGTTGCAATGGCATTTCTAATTAAGACATTGTTAGGACTAAAATTACAAAAAAATGTAATTAAATCTAAATAAAGATACTTTATACAATACAAATGATAAAAGCACATAGCAAAATTATTAAAACTTAAACTAAAATTTAAATAGAAAAATTCTAAATATTAATACATACAATAGTAGTATATAAATAATTTTAAAAATTAGGTTTTTAATGCGAATATCTGTTAAAAAGTACTTTTTTTTTCAATTTTAGGAGTATTTTTTTGCATATAGACGGCATTAAAGCCATCAGACATGGACTAAAAGTAAGAAAACTACCCATTTTGATTTCACGGCATCTTTAAAAGTATGTACTTTACCATCACTAATGCAGTATGTGCTTTTCTTATCTAGTAAATGTATGTGATTTAGTATTCATTCTAAATGAAGTGATGTCAACACTTTTAAGTCCATAATCAGGCCTGCAGGCCGGGACAGGATTAGCTAATCACCAGACGCTGTGTTTTTTGGACACGACATTCAGGATTTGGAGAATGGAGCAGATGGTGTCAGCTGGTGACGATGACTTGTACTCCTCTTATAAAAGAGCCTTAAGTGGAGGAAACTAATCAAAGCACCCATCCCCCGTCATGCCCATCATCCCCTCCCACTCATCTCATCAATGAAATGAAATTGCACGCTGCATTGTTTTTAGAAACATTTCGGTCTTTGTACCATGGCTATATCTGCTGTTTGCTCATTTGTAATCGTGGAACTGTCGCTCCTGATTGCGGCCAGCTGTTGCCAAGGCAAAACCTGGTGTTTCATGTGGTTGCTAGGAAAAGCACAGGCGCCTGACAGCAGAATCGAAAAGAAAGTGCTGCTCATGGTTTACTGTTTAATTCAGGATCAAGGGTTTTTAACTGTGAGCATTGAAGTGGTTACCTAAATGTAGCTGGATCTGATTATTTTCCCCCTAAAACCTAAAAAAAAAAGTAGCATTTTGCATAAATACAATGAGGCCTATTTTTTTTAGTAACAATAAGATTGTTTTGTATTGTGATATTATAGTGACATTTCTGCCCATAATTTTAATTTTTGTAATGATTCTCATTTGTTTACTGATATATAATTTTTTTTCAAATTAAATTATAAAGGCAGAACAAATACTACACAATATATATATATAGACATATAATATTACAATAGCTAATGATTATTTTGTAATACCGTATTACAGTAAATAGTGAGATTTTTTTGCATATGAATCGAGAGAATTGAGGGGGGAAATGTCATGAAAATGATGTCAAAATTGGGAAAAATTGCATTTTGCATAAATACAATGAGGCCTATTTTTTTTTAGTAACAATAAGATTGTTTTGTATTGTGATATTATAGTGACATTTCTGCCCATAATTTTAATTTTTGTAATGATTCTCATTTGCTTACTGATATATAATTTTTTTTCAAATTAAATTATAAAGGCAGAACAAATACTACACAATATATATATATAGACATATAATATTACAATAGCTAATGATTATTTTGTAATACTGTATTACAGTAAATAGTGAGATTTTTTTTGCATATGAATCGAGAGAATTGAGGGGGGAAATGTCATGAAAATGATGTCAAAATTGGGAAAAATTTTATTTAAGCAAAATACAATTTAAATATATAATTTAGCATTTAAATATAATATAAATTTGCAACAAAACTTGTTATTATTACTGTAATAAATCGATTATAATCCTCTTTAGACAAAATAATGTTTTTTTTTTAATTTTTTTTTTTATTATTCAAATAAAATCAGCATAAATACAAACCAGTACAATAAATAGTACCATAATTTTTTTTTTTTTTCACAAAAAAGTAAAATGTCACTGCAGGAGGATGTTTTAAATGTGTATAAAAAAAATCTTGATTTTAAAATAACCTTCATTTTCTCTTTGAAAAATATATTTTCCCTTTGACTTTGAGGGGAAATTGGACCCAGATATTTCTTTACAGTTTTCTAGAGGTTCCTCCAGTTCTGTAATACACTGTCTTGGTCTTTGTTCAACACCTGCTGAGGCTGCAGATTGACATCAATGGATCCTAAACACATAATTGCATTTCACAGTTGATTTGGGAAGTTATGTTAGTGCAGCAATGCAATTATGTCACACAGTGGGATATCTTGTTGCAGAAAAAAAGGCAAACACAGAGCGTGTGTTTGTGATGGGTATCAGTGGCAGTGGTTAAATTTGCATGAGAGTACCAGACGGGCGTTTTGGCTGCTAAATGTGGTGTATGATGTGCAGCATTGAGGATTTTCCACATATCCGTGAATTGGAGCGAGAGATAGAGCGGGGAAAAGATGTAACATTAACCCTGCACCACCCGGTGTTTCCATGGCAATGTGCCCACATTGTCTCTTGGCATTATTGGTGAGTGGAGTGTGAGTGACAGCTGTGTTGAGCTGCACCGACACCTGCTCGTCACCTGAGCAGGGCTCGTGTTCACTTTGACCTTCAGCAACGATTCTCCCGGGAACATTTGCTTTTTAGATCACCTAAAAGGAAAGATTCTGTCATTTACTCAGCCATACCGTGTTTTCCCAGCCTATATGACTGTGTTTTTCCAATGGAATACAAAAGAAGCAAGTCACTTAAGAATAAGTTATCTGTATTATTCTTCACAGATTTGGTGTCACGTAAATTAACCATGCCCCTGATTTTGTTTGCGTTTCAGTGCCAACACTGTGAGAAAGCCTTCATGAATGCCTCTTTCCTGCAAAGTCACATGCAGCGCAGACATCCGACGGAGTTTGACATCAGTGAGTTCAAACTGTGCTGAATCACTTCACAATGGGTTTCTGTTGTATTTTGCTTGCCCTTGTGAAAAAGAAGTAAGCATGCTATTAAAGAGCCCTTATGGAAATAATATACTTTAAAAGAATAAACCTAAATGCAAACTAAATGTAAAGTTTGCAGGCAGCAGCATGTTAATTGCATTTAAATAAAAATGTTTTATAGTTTTTTATAATACATGCATTTAAAGGGGTCATATGATGCGATATCAGTTTTTCTTTTCTCTTTGGAGTGTTACAAGCTCTTGGTGCATAAAGAAGATCTGTAAAGTTGCAAAGACTAAAGTCTCAAATCCAAAGAGATATTCTTTATAAAAGTTAAGAGTCAACCACGCCTACCTAAAACGGCTCGTTCTAACACGCCCCCCACATATCTACCTCACTATGTGGGAAGATTTGCATAACGCCGCCCAAATGTTCACGCAAAGAAAGAAGGCGTAACTTTTATTCTCGCTGTGGTATTGTTGCCGCCGCCGCCATTTCGTGAAGACGCTGTGTGCTTCGTTGTGAAAGCAAAACTACTTTGTTTGGTCTTCCAAAAGAGGACGATATCCGCTTCGTCAGGCCTAGAGCTGATCCGTGCTGGTCGCTGAGGAAATACTTCAACTGTGGACGAAGCGGAGTCCAGCCCGGGGTCGTCACGTGGTTGCCGCAGGCATCACAATATGGTAAGAGACGTAACATTTCCGTCACACGCTTGAGGAATTCGGCCAATCACAACGCACTGGATAGCTGGCCAATCAGAGCACACCTCGCTTTTTCAGACCGATGAGCTTTGTAAAAATCGATATGTTATTCATATGCATTTCAGAAAGGCGGGGCATAGAGGAGAAACAATAATGTACAGTATGTGGAAAATAATGTGTTTTTTGAACTTTAAACCGCATAAACACATTTCATTACACTAAATACACCAAATAATGTTATTTTTAGCAGCATCATATGACCCCTTTAATAAAATGTATCATTTAAAATAAATAAAAAGAAACTTGTATATTATGTATTTAAATGTATTTGTAATAATGCCTTTGTAATGATAAAGTTGCCATTTGGTACATTTAAAATATATGATCTTTACATTTTAATATGGCACACTACAGTTAGAATTCTAATCTACTACTTTACATGTGCTTTAGTATGTCAGTCAGCACATCAAACTAAGTACTTCTATAAAGCACGACAAAATATTATTACAATGTGATTTAACAACTATTTAAAATGTAATTTAAAGTAAAACTTTTTACATTTATTTTATTTTTTATGTGTCATTACAAAGTGCACTTTTATTAAGTGTATTATGAAACAGTTTATCTTTAAGTACACTTAAGTGGCCTTTTATATTTAATTAATAATATTCAACTTATCTGCAAGTACAGCAAAATTTACTTGTAAGATTTGAAGTACACTACAAGTGCACATTCAGTACAGTTAACAACAGCATCTCATATGTTCCAGAACTGATGACTGATAATCAGAAAAAAATTCAGACCATGAAGTTACAAGAGGAAATCAACAAACTACAGGAGCAGTTGACCCTGGTCACGTCCCAAATGGAGACACAGCAGAAAGACTGCACTGCTAAACAGGTTCGAGGAGACAAAAGAGACACCATGTTTTTAATAGAATGATTTGTTATTTGAAATAAGTATGTCATACTCTATTTTCTCCAGGAGAAAGAGCTCATTCAAAGCCAGGAAGAGTTTAAGAGACAACTGGAAATATGGAAAGAAGAAGAGAAAATGCGGATGAACGGCAAAATAGATGAAGTCAAGCAAGCCTGTCAGCGGGACATGGATTCAATGCATCAACAGAACAGAAACCTAGAAAATGTGTGTTTTTATTTCATTTACTCAACCTTATCTTGCTCCAAATTAATAACATTTATAATATTATATAATATGCTGGATTTCCAAACTTTGCTGGATTGAAATTAACATGGTTGTAAAGGATAGAATACATTGATCAAACAAGGCAAAAATTTATAGAAGTATTGATATTATGTGATGTGGTATACTGAAATGGCATTATTATGGTACTTTCCTCCTCAGGAGCTGCTAAAACTACAGCAGAAAAATATGCAGCAAAGTGTGCAGCCGGTACAGACACAGCCCAGTATACCAGCCAGCAATGAACACTGGCAGGAAGTTGTTAAACTTCAGCAAAAACTTCACAAACAAGTAAGAGATACAACATTCAGATAATTTGGGACAGTCCAGTACACCACACCGTAGAATGGAAATTGCTGTAGTTTTAAAGCTGATGTTTTTCTTTGCTCAGGAGGTGAAGTGGGCAGGGAAAACGCAAAAAATAAAGGAGGAACATGACAGTGAAAAAAGTCTGGTAGGTCTCACAGGCATCCTGTAGCTGTTTAAATACAGAAATAGCTCATATATCCACATGTCTGTTATATATGTTCCATAAGCTTCAGGAGGAGTTGTTCAAACTGCGCTCGGCCTTGTCAGAAGGGAGGGAGGAATCACGACGACAGGTGCAGGAGCTCAGCCACAGGCTGCAGGAACAGCAGCAGATTATTACCTCCCAAAACAAGCAGGTCAGTACTGTATCCCAGCACAGGAAGAGGCTCGATTGTTCAGGATTTCCTGTATTAGCGCAGCAGCCCACAGCATAATCTTTAGGTTCATGCTGAAGGAGTGTATGGGTGGGAACATATCCGGACGTTAGTAATTATCATCACACTGATTGTGTTGTCAGCTCATCATTATGCAGGTTGTTCTTTCAGTGAAACATAAGTTTGAAGTGACGGCTCAGATAATGTGTTGCTGACTGGGTTTTTTTGTTTTAAGAAATAACATGCTGTTTTGTTTATATGACAGATGAAACAGATCTCGTCAAAGCCGCCAGCAATAACAGTACAGCGTGAAGGTATGTAGATTTTATATTTTCGGATAAACGTAATATATGAGCAATGAATTATATGAGCAAAGAATCAAAAAAAAATTTTGTTTCAGTGGTTGCTGCTCCGGCTCCAGAGACTAAAGCTAAAGTGGTGCTCAGTGGTAAGTCCCTGCATAATATGGTGTTGTTAGATAATGTCAAAATAATATCGATCCCTAAACATCATGTAGATCACAGTTCACACGCTGTGACCTGATTAGGCATGATGTGCTAAATCTTCAAAAAAATAAATCAAATTTCTTCAAAGATTCATAACCTACTGCAACTATCAAAGCTTTTGCATGTTGTGGAGCTTATGGAACAAAGGATTTACTTGTTGCTTTATTACCAAAAAAGAGGGTTTTTTCAAAATCTCATGAGTCCAAAATCATGCTGTATTTTAAACATTAAATATATTCTGATTTGCTTTGATTTTGTTGCTTTGTTCAGCAACAAAAAGTCAGTTCAAAAGGTTGAGGTCTGCAACGTTTTTAATGTTTTCAACAGAAGTCTCCTCATATAGGCTGCATTTATTTGATTAAAAATACAGTAAAAATAGTAATATTGTGAAATATTACCATTTAAAAGAACTGTTTTCTATTTTAATATATTTTAAAATGTAATTTATTCCTGATTTCATTTCTACAGTCTTCAGTGTCACATGATTCTTCAGAAATTATTATAATATGCTGATTTGGTGTTCAAGAATCGTTTCAGTGGCTTGATAGTTTTGTGGAAACCATGACACTTTTCAAGATTCTTTGATGAATAGAAAGCACAGGATTTGCTTGAATTTGAAATCTTTTGTATCATTTTAAATGTCTTTACTGTCACATTTGGTCAGTGTAATGCTTCACCGCTGAACAAAAGTATTCCTTTTTTCTTTTTTTTTTACTTTCTGACCCCAAACTTCTGAACTGTAGTTTATGTCTGCTGAAGGTTAACTTTGTGTTTTTGGTGTACACTAGCATAGAGATGGCTTCAAATCGAATGTACTGTACATGTAACTAACAGACACATGATGTAATGGGGTCTTTAATCAGCATGTGGTCAGTATGGGTAATATCAGTGCAAAATGAGAGGGATAGATTTGAATATGTCCATCCATAACCCCTGCACTCTTCTCTGACCTCTTTGCACTGTCCTGTTAGAGCAGTCCAGCTCAGTCCGTAAACTGGATCCTATAGTGGAGCTGTCTGAGGAGGAGAAAGGTAAAGCAGTAGAGTGATTGAGTGTAGTCGTCTGTGGCATGCTCGCATCCGTCTGCGTGGCTCAGGTCTGTGTGTTCAGTCTGAGCATGTGCTAAAGTGAAGTGCTGAGCATGCCAAACTAAAGGCATGAGCTGGAAGATCTGTCTTCCAGCATGCATGTAATCATTGGACAGCTCAGAGCAAGAGAAAGGAAATGTTATTGTGAAGATACAGTAAATGAGCATTTTAAGTGCTTGTATTCTCCATTGTTTATGGGTTTGAAAAATATAAAAGTCATTGTACAATTGCAGAGGCATTTCCAGTTTTTCTTCAGTTATATTTTTCAATATACAGTATTTATAGTTATTTTTTTCCGTTTTGCAAGGTCAGACTAATTCATTTATTTTAGTTAAAAAACTGCAAGCAAATTGCAAGCCCTGTTGTTTACACCTGATATTAAGATATGAAGTGGTTAGGTGACAATTGTTTATTATTTAAATATTATAATTATACTTTTATATACACCAACGTTTAATGGTTTCTGGTTAGTATGCTTTTTTTTTTATTACCGGTAATATTTTTATTCAGCAAATTCACATTAAATTGACTTCTTCTTCAAATAAATGCTGTTCTTTTGAACTTTGAATTCAACAAAGGATCCTACAAAAATGTATCACAGTTTCCACAAACATATTAAGCAGCATAACTGTTTTGAACATTGATAATAATAAGAAATTATTCTTGAGTAGCAAATCAGCATATTAGAAAGATTTCTGAATGATCGTGTGACACTGAAGACTGAAGTGAATAAATTACATTTTAATTTTATTTATTTATTTTAAACTGATTTTAAATTTCACTCTTTATTATATGTTTGATCAAATAAATGCAGCCTTGGTTGGCCTTTGTTTGTTTGTTTTACTTTGTCTCTGCAGCTGCACTATAGAGCAATGATGTGCATCTTTTTTATGCTATCAGAGTATTTTCCAATACCATGTTATGATTTTAAATTATTATTTATTTTTTTTATTTTTATGAGTGGTAGCATCTGCCACTGCAATTGTAGAATGGCAGAAAATGTATTCCAGAGCATGTGTCATCCAACATGGTGAGTGCCACTCACCATGATCACTCGTCTTATATTTTCAGATTCCTCTAGTATCTCTGAAGGTCACACAGAGAGCCGGTCATGGCAGCAGGAAGTGCAGGAGCTGTTGAAGAACCCGGGTTTAAGGAGAGACATGCGTCTGGCAGCTCAGCAGAACCTTGAAGATCGACTGCAGAGCTTAGGCATCAAGGTAGTGAGAGTCAACCTGCGTTACAAAATAACTTATGACAAAAATATATTTTATAGATTATACAGTTGGACTGCAGTTGAGGCGCCATGGCACTGTATATCCTCAATGTCTATAATGTTGTTCAGGGAGTCAGTGGTCTCTCTGAAGTGGCGTTTAAGAGCACCATGACCCAGGTTATTACTGATCGTCAGAAGAGACAGGAAGAGGATCCAGCGTATCGGAGGGCTCTGAAAGAAATCAGCCATAAACTGGAGCAGAGAGTGACGGAGAGGAACACGGAGCAGCCAGCCAAACCCAAACAACATGAACAAGGTCAGGAATTGCCTTCGCAGTTTCAAGGTTGAGAACAAGGCTTTAAATATATTTGTTTTATGTCTCTTCCCAACATGTTTATTACGTTAACTAAAACTGAAACCATTAAAAAAGTTTTTTGCGTTTTACAATTGTTGCTTAGTTTAACTTGAAGTACTAAAGTAACTAACACTAAAAATGAAATAAAAAAATAATAAAAGCTATGTTAAAAATATGTAAATAAAAACTAATTAAAATATTAATAAAAACTATAATAATATGTAAAGGACACCAAAATAACACTGATTGCCAACGGAATGTGGCATACTGTTTAATATATTAAAGCAAATATCGAACATTTAGTTGTATTATTTAAACAATGCAATATTTCATTCAGTTTTTTCTATTTGTGTGGATGTTTTGTTGCTCGCTTAAATCACGTTTCTGTGGCATGCATGAGTTCCATTTCAGTCAGGATGCTGCATTAGGAGGCTTATGGCGACAGTAGGGCTGTGCGATATTGAAAAAAAATGCGATATTCGATATGCGATACGATATTGCTTAAAGTGTGAAAAATCCATTTAAATTATATTTTAAAATATTTAAAAATGAAAATTATATAACCAATTTGTTTCACATTCTTTCTTGGAAAAGAAAGAATCACTACAACTTCTGAAAGTGACCAGCAGGGTTTTAGCGTTACATAAAAAGTAATGTCACAAATCAGAAAATTTAATTTTAACATCAATGTGAACATACAAGCAAAAAAATTAAAATGACACTAATTTTATATCATTGTGACTTTGCTTTCCATACACTTTAAGTACTTCTTCATATACCACAGCAAAACCTATCGTCTGAGAAAGTTCAAACATGATTAAAGGCACAGTCAGTAAAAAAAAAGAAAGAAAAGGGGGGGGGGG